GTATGTGCATCATCAGTAACTTTTGTTTGCATGTATTTTGTCTTCACAAGTACTTTTGCTAGAATGTTTTAATAGTAATTTGTGTAGCTATAGAGTGCTTGATGAAACATAGACTGTAGTGCTTTTCAAAAGAGAGGAAACTATTTAATGAAAATTACTTCTTGGGAATTGGTTTACTTAACCAAAAGGAAACTGATGATTTGCATAAAAACATATTAGCTGCATTCTCCAGTTTTTAATTAATATTCTTTTGTAGTATATTGCTGTAAGAAGGGATGAATATCAAGGAAAGTGGTTAGTGTAAACATGTTCTGTAAAATATAATAAAAGTACATTGCATTTGATAGACACAGTTTGGTACTCTTGTTTATATCATTGCTTATTTTTCAGTAGGCATATATGATTTATTCCAATTATGTAATAGTATTCATAGTAGAAGCCACATCAAAATAATCATAGCCTTCATAGATTCTTCTTAAGTACAAGGGATTTCCATCTTTCAAGAAAACAGGCTTATTATATATTTTTATAAAAGAGAATTCAGGGAGTTGTTTGAAAATAGAGGAAATTGACATTATTGAAATGATTTACCTACCTTTTACTTTTACACCCATGCTGTGCACTGCTGCTCGAAGTGAAAGTTTTTCAGAGAGGTGATAAATGTATCGACATAATCACACAAGACTGGCCTACCCAGTGTACTCTTTCTGCGAGGAACTCCATTACTGTTAGAACAGACCCTGAGATGCAAGAATGAAGATGTATTAAGCAAATTATATTACTAATGTTTTTTTTTTCATAGACTGTACAAAAGATTTAATGGATTCCTACCTATCATGACCATCCTCTAGTTGAAGATACAAGGATTTGGGCAAAACTGAGGAAATAATTTTGGCATCAATGAAATTTATTTTGTTTATTTTATTTTTTATCTGTGGTGCAATATTGAAACTTCTGATATTATATGAAGGCACTTCCCTTTTGTAACACTTTTAAAGCCAGTGTCATATCATGATTATATATACAAATTAATTTCTCAATGCTTTCTTTTCATTTTGTAAGTATTACATGATTTTCACTGTTATTTTGCTATATCATTCTAAGCATAGTGATTTTTCTTATAGACCATGAGAACTAGCATTTTCAAATTTGGCTTCTCTGTTTTAGGTCCAATATCAAAAAGTTATGATTTATTATTAGCACTCATTATATTTCCATAATGTGAATGTTCACAGTTTTTTTGACGATATATGTTTGTATCAGTATTTGTTATTGTCTTTTGATCTGTTTTATGAGTATATGCAATAAGTTGTGGAGGATAGATCTTATTTTTATATCTCAAGAAAAAATGTTTCGGGAATTATAGATTATGAATTGAACGTTTTTTAAATAAAATTTGAAGAAACTAGTATAATAAGTACTATAAGTTTATATATTTTTTACATGATGGGAAGCAATATATATTTGTATTTTTTAAAGATATACAGCAGTTATGATTATCCTCAGTTTAGAATGAGTCTTAATTATATTACTTTCTATTGAAAAGAAATGAATCAGCTTTGATAGTTATAGGGACAAAGTTTGTTTAATAATGAAAACTGCCTGAATTGATGAACTGATATGTAATATTTTTTCATGATTATTATTACTTTTTGTTGTTTTCAATCCCACCTTGAAAAAGAAAACAGTACACTATACAAAGTTAGATGTCTTTGTGATATCACTCATTCTTTCCTCAGAGTGATTAGATTAGGCACTGCAAAATTCATTAAAGTTTCATATTTGTTGTAAAACTCGTAAGCATTGAGAGAATTAAAAGTTTACCTTCACTTTATCTAAGTTTCAATTAATACATAACTTTTAATGAGTAAAAAGTAAGTAATTCACAACAACCCACCTTCTTTCTCAAATGCATTGCAGCTCGGGAAATGGTGCAGTGTAATTATGTTGTCACCATTTGTCACGGATATTCACATGATGTGTCAGCAAAGCATATCTGGTGATTTATTAGGTACAGTTTAAAGCTGCAAGCATATTTAGAGTCTAATCAAGTAATTGCTCTGCATCATTTTTTCATGCAATCTCAAATTAATGCAATAACTCCAAGAAAAAGTAAATACACCAAAGATATGCTTATATGTCTATCATTTTTGGATAATCTCATGAAGAATTGTAGCCAGTGTTATTTTATTTTATTTATTTATTAATGTATTTATTTTTTTTTCTTATTCTTTTTATTTTTATTTATTTATTTATTTTTTTTTTAAGAGAACATCTACTCTTGGTATGAACTCTATATGAACTCTACAGATTATATTATTAGGTAATTTATATGTGTCATTTAGGCCCTGTTTATGACCTCTTTAAATAATGAGTTACATGCAAGATGAACTTCAGCTTATGAAGGGTAGATCACTTCAAGATGAAGTTCACATGTACAGGCATCAAGGTGATAAGGATACACAACATTTTTAATATTGTGAATAGTGAAATAAGACATTAGAAGAATAAATGCTGAATGAATGGTTTAAGCATAATACAACATTCTTAGCATATTGAATAATGGAATGTATAGGACATGTGAAGATTAAATGGCTTTGATAATACATGTTGTAAGGAATAAATGGATTAAATAGAAGTATGAAAATATTTCTGACATAATGAATAGTAAAACAAGATATGAGAATAGACTGATTGCTGTAAGTAAAGAGGAATAGCTAAATGGGTAATAAAGTGATTTCCAAAGATAATGGTAAGACTGTGAGGAAAATATGGATTAAGGAATATGGGAAAAAGATGATATATTGATAAGTTGGTGAGGGAAATATAGATTAGAGAATTCAGGAAAATGATGACATATCTATAAGATGGTGAGAGAAATATAGATTAGAGAATTCAGGAAGAAATGCAGTATAACAATAAGATAAGTGAAATATCGATTAGAGATTTCAGGAAAAGATAGATTATTGATTTATGAAAGGGTCACGTGACAGGTTTCAGGTACAAGATGGATAAGGGATTTTAGTTAAGGAAGCATCAGCAATGCAAGGAAAAATAAATTGGGCATTTCATGTATGAGCAATCATCAATTCAAGAAGGTAAAAGGAATAAAGGTTTCAAAGAGATATTGAGAAGAGATGAGATAGGAGTTTTAGAATAGAGAAGCATTAAGCATTTTAGGCAGTAAATAAATCAGAAGCTTCACAAAGAAAAGATGGGTTGGTGATTTCAGAAACAAGAAGGATTAGGAATTTTATGAAAAGAGCAATTGTGGAATTCAGAAATATAAACGGGTTAGGGAAAGGGACATACCAGTGACATCAGCTAAGAGAAAGAATATCAATTTCAAATTTGATGGATTACATATTTCATAAAATAGGAGAATTAGGGATTTTTGAAAAAAAAATAGGGCTGTCAGGAAAGAGAAGAGTGGGGATTTTAGTCAAGATTAAGATACAGAGATTTTAGGCAAGAGAATTATAAAATTTATTTTAGAAAAGAGAAGTATCAGAGCTGAAAGCACAACGGATGTTAAAAAAAAAAATACATAGATGCTACAGGACAACAGATTGGAATATTGTAAAATAGAGATGAATTGGAATTGTTGGGTAATGGGAAAATATTTAAATTGAATAAGTGTACCGTGTATTAGGCTATAAGGTAAATAAGAACAGAAAATAAGACAGAAGAAATACATAACTTAGAAATACATAACGACATAAAATTATACAAAATAAATTATAAATAAACCTTCCCAAGATAATAACAATGAAAACATAGACAACCAGTATCCAAATGCAATGCAAATCAACAACAAAAAAAAATAAATACCCAAAAAAGGAAAGGAAGAGTGAAAAGAAAATCAAGGATTCAGAAAAAGGTATAAAGGAAAGATCAAGAATTCAGGAAAAGGGTTTCCAAGTGCGGCCACAAGACACTCAGGAAGATACGAGCGCTGCTGCTCTTCCTTGTCCACCTCCAACTCCACCTCCACCACTTCCTCCTCCTCCTCCTTCTCCTTCTCCTTCTCCTTCTCCTTCTCCTTCATCTCCTCCTCCTCCTCCTCCTCCTTCTCTTCCTCCTTCTCTTCCTCCTCCTCTTCCTCCTCCACCACCACCTTCTCCTTTGTTTCATCCTTCTCCTCCTTTTCCTCCTCCTCTTCCATTCTTTTCCTCTTACTTCTCCTTTTCTTCCTTTTCTCCTCCTCCTCTGTTTCCTTTTCCTCCTACTCTTTTTCCTTTTCTTCCCCCTCCTCCACCACCTCCTCCTCCTCCTTCTTTTACTCCTCTTCCTCTTCTTCCTCTTCTTCCTCCTTTTCCTCCTACTCTTCTTCCTCCTCCCCCTCCTCTTCTGCTTCCTCCTCCTCCTCCTCCTCCTCCTCCTCCTCCTCCTCCTCCTTCTCCTCCGTCTTCTTTTCCTCCATCTTCTCCTTCTCCTCCTTCTCCTCCCTCCCCCCTCCCCCCTACTCTTCCTCCTCCTCCCTCCTCCTCCTCCTCCTCCTCTTCCTCTTCCTTCCCATCTCCTCCTCCTCCTCCTCCTTCTCCTTTCCCTCCATCTCCTCCTGTTCCTTCTCCTTTCCCTCCATCTCCTCTTCCTCCTCCTTCTCCTTACCCTCCATTTTCTCCTTCTCCTCCTCCTCCTCCTCCCTTCCTCCCCCCTTCCTCTCCCTCCCCCTTCCTCCTTCTCCTTACCCTCCATTTTCTCCTCCTCCTCCTCCTCTTCCTCCCCACCTCCTCCTCCCCCTCCTCCTCCCCTCCTCCTCCTCCTCCTCCTCCTCCTCCTCCTCCTCCTCCTCCTCCTTCTCCTTTCCCTCCATCTCCTATTCCTTCTCCTTACCCTCCATTTTCTCCTCCTCCTCCTCCCCCTTCCTCCTCCTCCTCCTCCTCCTCCTCCTCCTCCTCCTCCTCCTCCTTCTCCTCCTTTCCCTCCATCTTCTCCTCCTCCTCCTCCTCCTCCTCCTCCTCCTCCTCCTCCTCCTCCTTCTCCTCCTTTCCCTCCAT